CAGCACCACGTCTGAAATTGGACCAGGATCTTATAATATCAGCAGGTCTCTCAGCGACAAAAAGAGTAAGTTTCATTTAGCCGTGAAATAAAGTCATTTTTTTAAAACCTAAGACCATTGACCGTTCGCATAAACTACTTAGACTAGTCTTACAAGTTAGTCATCTAAATGTTGGTCATAACTTCTTAAAATCAGTTACATAAAAAAGGTAGATCTTAAATTTGAATCGGAAAAGTAAGATGGAAATGAACTTAACGTTAACCCTTTGGTTAAGTGCTAACATTAGTTCTTAAGGGTTAGTTCACCCAAAAATGTCAATTCTGTCATAATTTACTCACCCTCAAGTTGTTCCAGACAGACCTGTATGAATTTTTTTCTTCTGTTAAACACAAAATAAGATATTTTGAAGAATATGGCGTAACCACACAGTTGATGGACCCCATCGGCTTCCATAGGAAAGAAATACTGTGGAAGTCAATGGGGTCCAATCAACTGTTTGATTACCGACATTCTTCAAAATATCTTCTTTTCTGCCCAGCAGAAGAAAAAAACTCATACAGGTTTAGAACAACTTGAAGGTGAGTAAATGATGACTTGTTTCATTTTTGGGTGAACTAACGTTATCCCTTTGTTTATGGAAGTGGCCCCAAAATTGACCATGGTTTTACTACACATAAAAAAAAGAAACATGGTAACCACAAATTAACCATGGTTTTGCTAAACTAACCCATAGTTTAACCATAGTATTTGTTGTAAAACTGTGTTTATACAAATGGTCATCAAACTTCCAAAAAAAAAAAAACATGGTTACTACACTTACACTATAATAAAACCATGGTTAATTTTCACAAGGCAGTTCTAAACCTTACCAAGAAGTATAGATATTACATAAAAGGTTATTCATTGGTTATTTGCAGACCTCTCTTCTTTCCCACAACCGTTTTCTTTGTATAGTTTTCTTGGGTTGCTATAGTATTTGATGTTAAATTACAGTATTTGATGTTAAATTAGGCTACAGGTTCTTTAGACCTCCATACTGTTTAATGTAAAGTGCCAGAATATAGCTGAGTTTTCTAAAGAGCTAAACTAGAGAATAAATAAAAGGTTCTTCTGGCATTAGGTTGTGCAACCCTTTTTAGTTATTTTATAAACTTTTTAAAAAATAGTTTAGGGACCTGTGATCAATCTACTAGGCTATTGGATTTTGTATAGTATTAATACCAATATAATAATAATTGTTATTATTATTTGTAAGAGTTATTGTTGATATATTTCTACAGATTCGTATGCCCCCTTCCTCTCGCTGTCCATTAGAGAGACTGGGTTCCTGGGGTCGGGCAGTGCTCTCCTCTCTCCTGGACCAGGACAGTATAACAGTGGCATTCCCAGGGTATGTTATGGTTTTAATATCACCGTGCAATCAGTTAACATGTCAGTGACACAGGCAAAATAACTGGAATATTGCAGAATCATGTTTTGGGAGGAAACAGTCTTCAGAATCGTTCCAAGCGGTTTGATGACGTGGTGTCAGATGTGCCAGGGCCGGGAGCGTACAATGTTAGGAACAATGCGTCTCCTTCAAAGAACAGAACAACCAATCCAGAGAAGAGTCCGAAGGTGAGACGTTAGTTTGGATTATCACATGGACTATAATTTATTTTTATTGTTATGAAGATCATATCAAGTGTTGTAATTATGGCAAGACAAATGTACTTAGATTTCATACAAAGGTGAATCTCACACAAGAAATGTCCAGGTCATATTTGAACCCCAAAAGAAAAATAACAAATAATATTTTGCGTAAAGAAAATAAAGCCTGTTTGTAGGACCATTGCACTTTTCACACCAATTTCGCACATTTATCAACAATATTTAGACAAAGTGTTCAATAAAAACACAAGATTTAGTTAAAGATCAGATGAGATTTTATGAGCAATTAGTTAACACTTTATTTTAAGGTGACGTAGTTACACCTTACTTCATGTACTTACCATAGTAATAACAGTAAATTATGCATAATTACAAGTAACTAACCTAAACCCTGACCCTAACCTTAACTCTATAGTAAGTACATGTAGTTAATTAATATTACTCAGTACTTATATGAGTAATTACAATGTAACTACGTCACCTTTAAATAAAGTGTAAGCAGCGATTAATGTAAATATCCAGGTAAATCCAAAGGGTTACTTTCATACTTTCTCCCTGCAGTCCCTTCTGTTAATATTTTGATTTGTTTTTTGAGTACATGTTTTTACGATGCCTGCAGACCGTCTATAAAGTGATGCAGATGCTGCTGAATCCTGATGCTCCATCCATCCCGTCTCCCGCACAGGCGTTGGGATATGAAGAGGATGCTCAAGGTGTCCTACACAGACACAAACCCCCCACCAGAGACCAGACCCTCGGCCCGGCCTACTACAACCCCTTACCGGTCAGACAGATTACCAGCCGTATGTGTAAATGGATGTGCACTCAGTCATGAAAAAGATACAGGTCTAATGGAGTGGTTTGAGTGTGTGTGTGTGTGAGGTCAGATGTGTCCATTAACAGAAGACCGTCTAATGCCCCTCCGCTCTGCATCATTAGTGCTGAGGCTGTTTCCATTACTAATGATCGCTGCATTATTTTAAAAAGTCACAAAGTGCAGCACTCATCCATTTTACTGTCAGGACCGAAAACCCTGGGTAATTATTCTTTACGTTATATTTCAATATTCACTTACAATAATGCAGCAGATGCTGGACTCAGCTTTAATCAAATCATCTTTCATTGGCCATTGAGCTGCCAACTTCCTCCAGAGGGGGAAGAACTCTGTATCAAAGCGCAGGGCCATCCGTCATGGTGCATCTCTGTTTCTCTCGCTCGTCTCAGGGGTTGCTAGTTGATTACACATTTTCCACCCATTTTTAGCTGTTTTTGTAGATTAAAACTGTCATATTCTACACATATTCTAGCATTTTATGTTGTTTCACTTGCATCGGCTTTGTTTCAAGACCATAGTGCACGTGACAAGGAGTTTCATCAACCATTTCTATCAAGGTTTTATTATCAGTGCATATCAGTGATACTGAAAATTTGGCTGATAGTGATATATATTATGATTTATTATGACTAATAGCCATGTTATGGCTTATTTACATTATATTTATATATATAAATTTATCCCATGGTCTGTCTGAATACTCGATTCTGATTGGCTGGAAGGTGTGCAATAAAACAGTTTAACGCACAAGTAGTTCCAAGTCAGTTTAATCGCCGTTCTTTATTAATGCGCTGTTTTCATTGACACACACACACACATCACTCTGAGATCGCGGTGCGCACACACAGAAACATTCAGGAGCACAGAAACTTGTCATCAACTCTGCCCTGTGGGCCGTGACTTTATTAATAAAAAGCTTCGCTACCGAATCAATAACGATGTTATTAAGCTGTCAATGCTGGCAAATGATCATAGTATAAGCATGATAATCCATGGCTCGGTGTGCATTATACGATTTTAATGGACTTTGTGAAGGCAGATGCTGTGGATTATCTCTTACTTGCATTATATAAATATATATAGTGTGTGTATATTATACTGTGTATATATATATATAAATATATACAATTCTTTTACCAACATGTTATTTTATACATATTTAAACCCCCACACATGATTATTTCATGGTTCTGAATGATCTTGGTTTATTTGCAGCTTAGTTTCAATAAATGGACTTTGAATGCTAAAGTATGCTCTATGACATCTGACCATCAAGACATAAATCTGTATAATTATGTCCAGTGAAAATGCTGATAATTGTAAACTAATATTTGACCTCAGATATATATGTTTTGCAGGAGGAGCTGTCATCCTTTCAGAAGTATAAAGGTGTGCAGTTTGGGAAGATGTCAGGCCGGAGAGAGCGGGTAAAGGGCGAAGACGAACCTGGACCAGGACAGTATGAACTACAGGAGTGAGTTTGATTGATTTGCTCTCAGCTGCAACACAACACTGTTTGCATTGTTTTTCAAAATGTATTCTGAAGCATCTGGATCTTGTTTGCCATATGTAGATGCTTCAGAATAAATGTCACATGGTCTCAGCCTCAGACGGCACACCCACAGTCTGTTCGCTGACCGTCTGATGCATACTGCACACAAAACTCCAAATCACTTCCTTGATCTATTATAATCTAATCTGCATGACTGACTTTTCTGCAAATTATAGGAGTAAGTCAGTGCTGTTTGCGTCAGTGCTGCAGTGGTGATATATTTTTGTAGGCCAACCTGGAAGTCAGCATCACCCTGGTTCCCTCGACAAAAAACTAATACGATTTTTCTACTGGATTTTGGATTATTGCAGAAAATAAGCTCTGTGATCAACAATTTTATTGAATTTTGAATTTTGAAGCCTAAATACAATCGCGAGAAGTAAAAAGCTAAACGTGTGCTATAAACAAACTACACCACGTTCACATGACTTCAACATCACCATCACTTACGCTAAATGCAGGTGTAAACGGGGTCCAAAACGTTTTGAGCTTGTCCACTCTCCACCACTACCTATCAGAGCAGAAACGAAAGCTGCTGCTCTCCGGATGTTTTCCCGTCGTGTCCGGGCGCGTTCAGAGCCCTATAAGCGAACTAAGCGACTGCTTAGGGCCCCGCCGCCACTAGGGGGCCCCCTAACTACAGATGGTAGTCGCCGCTCAAAGTGTGGGGCGCGCCCCACTGGTGGGGAATAGAGACGTGACAGGTGGGACGCGCCAACGGGAGGAAATTTTCCTTTTTATGCCTTTATATCTTTATTCGATCATGGCGAGTCAACTTCATCTTTGCAGCGACGCAGAAAACACCAGTTTATTAATAAACAATTAAATGTCTCCTTGCTATTTTTTGCACATTCATAATCATTAGCCTACTTTTGCCGGTTCGTGCGCTTGAGTGCGGCTTTATAACACTCATTATCCTGTATAGCCTATTTAAGTTATTAAATCAATATAAAGGGGCGATTTGTCCACTAATGGCTTAAATAAACAACTACTAGTCGACTAGAAAAACAACTTTAGTCGGAGGCAGCCCTTATTCCACATATTTTCGAACCAGCAGGGTTGAGCGCGCGACCCTGAGCTCCGCTCACATGCTCTGATCGGAACAAAGGAATATTAAAATAATTAATCATTAGTTTATATCTCATACACTGCCCATCATTTTTAATCCCATATCAAACACAGTAGCCTATGTTATGTCTATTTTTTATTTTTTTAATAGACCTGTCTTGCCAATTGGATTTCTCTTCTTTTCTTTTTTTAACAGATTGCAAAGTGGCACTTTTATTTCTTTTCTATTTTTGAACTTGATACACATTTTGACACAGCTGCACTTTTATTTTCTCTATTTTTGAATTCCAAGGTCAAGGTCAAGGTCAAGGTAAACTTTATTATCCACAAGTAGGAAATTCATGTGGTCACCATTACACGCTCCACTTTTAAAAAACCTGCTGCATACAAATAAAAACATAGATACAAAAGCATTAAATACAAAAGCATTAAAACATTTAAACATAAAAACATAAGAAAAACACAGACAAGATAGACAAAACAACAAACATTATAGAAACATGACAAGCATGTGTGAATAAATAAGCTAGTTAAATGCTAGCTGATTGTTGTACAATCTAATTGCTGTAGGCACAAAAGAATTGCTGTACCTTGTGGTCCTAATTTTCCTTTGCAGTAGTCTACCACTTGACCTGTTACTTCTTAAGAAACTCTGATGAAGAGGGTGGGTTGAATCATTTATAATTTGTTCTATCTTTTTAAGACTAAGGTCATTGTACAATTGGGCTACAGATACTTGATCAACTCCAATGATCTTGCTGGCTGTTGTGACGATTCGTTGCAATTTATTCTGATCTTTAATGTACATGTTACCAAAGGCACAAATAAGACCGAAAGATAAGACACTCTGCAAGAGAGCTTTATAAAACATCTGAAGAATACAATTGTCTATTCTAAAATGGTTAAGTTTCCTTAAAAAAAACATCCTCTTCTGCAACCTTTTGGACTTATTTTGTGCACATTCATTAAAAGTCAGTTTATTATCTATTTCAACACCCAAATATGTGTATGTTGTGACCCGCTCTACCACTACCCCGTTTATATTTGAGGGTGGAACTACAATTCCCTTTTTATTAAAATCTATGATCAACTCCTTTGTTTTTTTTGCATTAACCACAAGGAAATTATCTGTACACCAATTTATAAAACCCTGCACCTCCCTCTCAAAGCCCTCTAGGGATGCAGTATTGGACAGTATTGGACTCCATGCAAGTTATGACACAGCTGCACTTTTATTTTCTTTATTTTTGAACTTGCTGGTATGTTATTTGATGTAGATAGTTTGTATTTTAAATTACTGGTCCAACTTCTCCCTCTTTTGAAAGTGTGGAAAAGGGAAAAGAAGTTCAAAGATCGAGACTCCAGCAACACCTGTAGTATATGCAACAACTTTATTGAAGATTTGTTAGATTGGGGTTAGATTGTATACAGTTGCTGGTTTGCGGTGGCAATACTCCATTATTTACTGCAAGGCAGGGCCCCAAAATTATCCTGCTTAGGGCCCCCAGATTTACAGAGCCGGCCCTGTGCGTGTTCATTATGTAAATTGCGTGAGATTAATTCGCCCATTAGTTTGAAAGATCTGAATAAACCCATAGACCCTCTCCTCGAAGAAATCAGGACAGAAGTGGTTGGAAGTGGACAAAAGAGACGGATTAAAACACCAGGTGTAAACGGGAATGTGTCTCCCTCCTCTACTCATAATCCGATCGACCAAAGTCCAAAACGCATCTTAATACCAGGTGTAAACTGGGCCCTAATGTCCCATTGAGACTCTGGTTAGCAACCATCTTTTTCAAGACAAGTCAAAACACAATTGCTGATGTATTTTATGTCATAGAATAAAATGTGAAAAAATCTTGAGCTTGTGTTCACCACAGACCTTTTTTCCAGGCATTTAACCAAAAACCCATTCAAAAAACCCCATTGACTTCAGGCTGATGGAACTTCTAAAATCCTAACTCGTTTCATGGTTTCGGCCTACAGAAATACAGCATCCCTTCAGCACTCTTTGGTGTTTCATTTGATTGTGTGCATCCCTGTGTGTGTTTGTGTGTGTACCAGTGATCACGCTGTCCACTATGAGAACGTGAATCTCACTCGAGAGCAGAAAGGCCGTTCAGAGCTGGTCGTCCCTCGATACCATGAGCTGGTGACTCTGCAGGAGGAGAAGAAGGTTCAAACCTCAGAATATCATTTTGTCTTAAGTCCCTGTTCTATACGTGTAGCTATTTTGGATCACTTGTACTGGAATTTTTTTTTTTAAGACATTTGACGGCACTGAAGCTGCAAGTTAAAGTTAAATGTAAATTAAAGCTAATGTAAAAAATATTAAATAAAGAATTAATAAAATTTAAATAAATAGGTAAATAAAAAAAAATGGCTTTACATAAATAATGTGATTAAAATAAAAATATGAGTTATTATTCTATTAAATAAATATATATAAAAACATATTTGGGTTAATATAAACCAAATATTTTTTTTTAATATAAATTAAATGCATAAATAATGTTTATTATTGTAATTTAATAGAAACACATTTTTAGATTTTATATAATGTATAAATTGGGTGTTTTTAAAAGATAGATGCTAGGGATGGGGTCCCTCACACGAGGATGATTGTATTTGGGGGTCCATGGCATCTAAAAGATTGAAAACCCCTGTTTTAACACACTGACGTGTGTTAATGTGACATGTAGAAGTTGTGTCTTGCCTGTAGAGGGCACTATTGCAACAAGACTTGAGCTCATGGTTAGATGCATTTCTGCATGGATGCTTTTCTGTTGTGCTGCAAATAAGCTTTCTTTTTCTTTTTGTGTGCATCTGTGTGTGTGTTTATGTGTGTTTGTATTTATAGGGTGTCCCAGGTCCAGGGCATTACCACATAAAGAGTCAGTTTGAGACGCCCAGTAAACCACATGGTCCTGTGTTGAGCCCAGCCTTCCTGTCAAAATCTCAGGTAACAATACACTGCATTATTTTTGGACATTCATACATAAGAGACAATGTACATCCAGCCGGATGTTATCGCAAAATAAACTCTGACAGGGGGATCAGGACCCCGACTTGTATCACCCTGAAGTCTTTTTTTTTTTTTTGTGATAACATCCGGCTGTGTGTATTGGCTAATCCGCTTATTACATGGCTACTCTCCACATAAGTAAATCATTTGATAAAAAATATGGATTTGAGTTTATTAGCTCACTATTATTTCACCAAATAAATAATGACAGGGACATGAAATATTGATTTGAGAAGAAACCGTACTTGTTTATCATCTCATGATCTATTACATTTCATCCTAGCAACAAAACAAACACTTCAACAATATTACCGTAGGCCTACTATTAGTACTGAAGTCCTCCTCCTTTTACAGTCGATAACTGAGGCATAGATGCCACCAGCATGTCCATGGTGTGGTACGAGAAACATGAAAGAAGGATGAGCGGTCACTGTACAGTGTTGCAATTGACGATGATCATTATCAAGGAATAGCTGACCTCGAAATTACGTTATTGACCAATCAGAATCAAGCATTTCAGAGAGCCGTGTAATAAGTTCTAATAACAGCTGCTCTGGATTAGTCACATGAAATCAAAATGGACCTTATTTACTTGCCTAATACACGTTTCTGGTCTTGTGCACAATTCATCAGAGCACATTATAGTCTTCATTATCTTTTAGTAAAATGTAATCGACTCACAGATGTAAAATGGTTTGTGAATGCCGCCTCGTGTCGATTTTCATCTGATCTCAGTATTGTGCTGGTTCTCGCAGCGGTTCAGTCCGGTCAAGGATGAAACGCCCCCTGTAGGAGCGTACGAAGACCCGCGCTGTGCACTGGAGATCCTGAAGAAAGACAGAAGGGTGAAGAAGAATCCTTTTGGGCAGACAGCTGCACGCTTCCTGCCAGAAAACAGATCGAAAGCTACGCCAGGTTTGTGCCGGTGTGTTTTGTTCTGTGTGAATGTGAATGTGAATCTGGGCTACATTCTGAATGCAAAATGTCTTGTATCTGTGGGGTTCAGTCAGAGGTCAGATTTGGACTGTGCTTGCTAGAGGGAAAAACATGAGGTTGGCAAAGTTAGCACTAGATTTCATACACAAAATGCTTTACAACAGCAGCCAATCAGATTTCAAGCCACTCTTAAAACAACCAATCAGATTCTATGCCAATTTAAGGCACTCAAGATGCATTCTGTCTAATCTTGCGTACTGTCTGTCCTTAATAGTGTGCAAGATGCCAAATCAAAGTACGTCGAAAATTGAATGCCAAAGGTGCCTGGATAGTGTACAATTTTGCATTAAGGTGTGCTTAAGATGCTATTTTATGAAAACATTTCATTGAGGAGTTAAAATTAAATTTTCTTTAGCAGCCAGTAATTATATTTAAAGTGGTCGAAGTCAAGTCACATTTATTTTTATAGCACTTTATACAATAGAAGCAGCTTCACAATAATAACCAGGAAAGTTGCAGAATTATGATGTAAACTTTATCAAATAAGAGACAAAAGTGCAATGAACTACACTGTACAAAGTGGTAAACTGCAATTGTACCTTAAAAAGCTATTTCTACCTGATTTAATCTATTTTTTATATATATTACTATATTTAGGTTGATTCAGCCACATTAAATAATATTTGACTTGAATAAAACTCCATGTCGATCAATTCGATGTCATGTGCCAAATCAGTTTTCTTTATCAGTAACAACATGCATAGGGGTCGAAGTACAATGAACAATTTTTAATGCAGCAATTTAACTTAATTTTTAGCAGGTTGAAAGATTTTTGTATATTTATACTTTTGTTATCATAAACAAAAGTACGCAAACTGTAGCAAACCACATGGATTGCATAAGTGTCACACTGGCTGAGTGTGTTGTAGGTATGACGCGAAGACGAAGATAAAAGTGAACAGACTTTATTAACTGAAAGAGAACTACACCAAACTGAAGATAAGCATTAACGAGAACTGACCAATGAGAACAAAAACACAGGCATATATATATACAGTTTCTCACAAAAGTGAGTACACCCCTCACATTTTAGCAAACATTTTAGTACATCTACTCAAGGGACAATACTATAGAAATGAAACTTGGATATATTTTAGAGTAGTCAATGTGCTGCTTGTATAGCAGTATATATTTACTGTCCTCTGAAAATAACTCAACATCCTATTGTCAAAATAGCTTGCAACAAAAGTGAGTACACCCTAAGTGATAATAGCTGTACGTCGTTTAACCATGCAAAGCCACATGTCCTATTCCTCATGTTCATATTTTGTCTGTTTGACAGGACCATACAAATTGTTGTGTCTTGTATTAGAGCAGTTAAAATTTGTGCTTTGAGTACAATTCTCTCATACTGACCACTGGATGTTCAACATGGCACCTCATGGCAAATAACTCTCTAAGGATTTGAGAATTAGAATTGTTGCTCTCCACAAAGATGGCCAAGGCTATAAGAAGATTGGTAACACCCTGAAACTGAGTTACAGTACAGGCCAGAGTCATACAGAGGTTTTCCAAGACAGGTTCCACTTGTAACAGGCCTCGCGAGGGTCAATCAAAGAAATTGAGTCCTCGTGCTGTGCGTCAGGTGCAGAAGCTGGCTTCAGAAAACAGACGCATGAGTGCAGCCAGCATTGCTTTAGAGGTTGCAGAAGCTTGTTAGTGCTCAGACCATACGCCGCACACGGCAACAAGTCGGTTTGCATGGTCGTCGTCTCAGAAGGAAGCCTCTTCTGAAGCTGGCTCACAAGAAAGCCCGCAAACAGTTTGCTGAAAGCAACCTGTCCAAGAGCATGAATTACTGAAACCATGTCCTGTGGTCTGATGAGACTAAGATAAACTTGTTTGACTCAGATGGTGTCCAGCATGTGTGGCGATGCCCTGATGAGGAGGAGTACCAAGAAAATTGCCTACAGTCGAGCATGGTGGTGGTAGCATCGTGGTCTGGGGCTGCACGAGTGCTGCTGGTACTGGGGAGCTGCGCTACATTGAGGAAAACATGGATTCCAACATGTACTGCGACATTCTGAAGCAGAACATGATGCCCTCCTTTCAGAAACTGGGCCGAACGGCATGATAACGACCCCAAACACACCGCCAAGATGACAACTGCCTTGCTGAGGAAGCTGAAGCTGAAGGTGAAGGAGTGGCTGAGTATTTCTCCAGACCTGAACCCTATTGAGCAGCTGTGGGGCGTCCTCAAGCGGAAGGTGGAGAAGCGCCATGTGTCTAACATCCAGCAGCTTCATGATGTCATTATGGAGGAGTGGAAGAGGATCCCAGCAACAACCTGTGCATCTCTGGTGAACTCCATACCTAGGAGGATTAAGGCAGTGCGAGATAACAATGGTGCTCACACAAAATATTGACACTTTGGACACAGTTTTGACATGTTCACTTAGGGTGTACTCACTTTTGTTGCCAGCTATTTGGACAATAATGGCTGTATGTTGAGTTATTTTCAGAGGACAGTAAATATATACTGCTATACAAGCAGCACATTGACTATAGTTTTGTCCCTTGAGTAGATGTACTAAAATGTTTGCTGAAATGTGAGGGGTGTACTCACTTTTGTGATATACTGTATATATATAAAACAAAGATGATTGGATTAACACAGGTGATACAAATTAGGGAATTAATGAGTAACCATAGAAACAAACTAGAATGCAATGAGTAACCTAGGAGACAAACAAGTGGCGGGAAACAGAACAAAGGAGACAGGAGTAATGATGTTGAAAATTCAGCTTTGATCACAGGAATAAATTACATTTTACAACATATTCAAATACAAAACAGTTATTTTAAATTGTAATAATATTTCACAATATTACCGTTTTTACTGTATTTTTGATCAAGTAGATGCAGCCGTGGTGAGCAGAAGAGACTTCTTTCAAAAACAGTAAAAAAAAATCTTACCAACCTCAATTAGTGTATGTAAATTAGGCAAAACCACAACCATCAATATTAAACGAACCTAGTTAGCAGAACTCCAATAGCAACTTAATGTCTTCCTCATGCATGTATTTGCTGATTTCATCAAGTACATGTTCCTGGATCGACATCTTTGTTGATCCTGGAACAACATTCCAATCAACCAATCAGATTTGAGGGACAAGTTTAGTTTATGTCAAGTTTAGGCTTACAACCAGGATTAGGTGCTTCTACGCCAATGTTATTCACCTGTTTAGGGTTAGGACTAAATTTTCAGACCGGAATGTTTTTCCAGGATCAACAAAATATGTTGACCTAGGAACTCGTCTCACTCTGTAAAATCAGGACGTGCTGTATTTTCTAGGTCCCGGTGCCTATAACGTGTTTGATTATGGCCTGGCTCAGGAGAGTTTGAAGAAAGCCTGTCTGAAGAGCAGAAAGAAGGGCGCCTTTGGCTCTGTTGCACCACGCCGCCCTTTTCTCCCCAGCAAAGAGGAAATGAGCACCCCGGGGCTGGCTCAGTACAAGGTGAGCAGTTCTTCAACCCAGAAAGTGTGCACTCATTGTCTATTGTACACTAATCTGCCAGCGCCCTTGGGAGCTTATTCAGACTTTTCAGGGGGCTTCATCCAACGAATCGAATAAATCTTTCATAAATCCCCTTGAACTAAATATTTCTCAGCATTCACTAAATGTCAGTTTTGCCTGGAGTCTACAACCTAGAGCCTATCCTTTCAAATTGTACCATGAAAACCGTAGTTTCTACCAAAATACCGCAGTTTCTGTATTCCATAGCAAACATCACTATTAATTACTGTTGCGTATTCTCAGGGTGAGGGATTTGAATGAAGAATCAATCATTCATGCTACAGACGTGAATGCAACCTTGATTTGCTTGTTGGCTTTTTGAGAAGTGTGCTTTTACTTTTCTAAGTGATGAGACTTTTCCCTGGTGGATGATAAAATGGACGAAGCATACACACTTACACTGTGGTTACCATGGTACATATTTGTAAGAATAACAGATTCAAATTGAACACTATGTATTGTGGCTGGCAAATCCCTCCCTCGCTGTGAAGTATTTCAAACTTGGGACATTGGCATGCTGGGTTATTATTATCTGCAATAATTGCATTATTACAATTTAAAAGAACTGTTTTCTACTTGAATATAGTTTAAAATTAATTGTAATTTATTCCTGTGATCAAAGCTGAATTTTCAGCATCATTATTGCAGTCTTCAGTGTCACATGATCCTTCAGAAATCATTCTAATATGCTGATTTGCTGCTCAAGAAACATTTATGATTATTATCAATGGTTAATGTTGAACAGTTGTGCTGCTTTGTGTTTTTTGTGGAAACCATGACACATTTTCTTTGATGAATAAAAAGACCAGCATTCATTAGAAATAAAAACCTTTTTTAAGACTATAAATGTATTTTCTGTCACTTTTGATCAATTTGATGCATCCATGCATAATAAAAGTATTAATTTCTTTAAAAACAATCTTACTGACCCCAAACTTTTGTACAGTAATGTACATTAAGTACAGTATGCACACACAGATGCCAAAATGTGCACTAGGCAAACAGAGCACACTGTGGGGGATACTTTATCCCACAATGCAATGCACTTGATTACAATTGATAAATGTAACCAGCACATAATTAACCAGCACATAATTAAAAGAAATTATGGAAGCTTGTTTCCGCCACAGAATGAAAAATAAAAAAGGTAATTGCGACTTTTTATCTCACAATTCTGACTTTTTTTCTCACAATTGCGAGTTTACATCTCGCAATTCTGACTTTATTTCTCAGAATTGCGAGATATAAAGTCAGAATTTATTGATATAAAGTCGCAATTGCGTGTTATAAAGTCAGAATTGCTTGAAATAAAGTCGCAATTGCGTGTTATAAAGTCAGAATTGCGAGATATAAAGTCGAAATTGCGTGTTGTAAATTCAGAATTGTGAGATATAAACTATTCTGAGGGGAAAAAAGTTAGTCTTTTCCTCCCCTTATAATTGGCCTGATAACTCGCAATTGCGACTTTATATCTCACAATTCTGAGAAAAGATGTCAGAATTTCGAGACATAAACTCGCAATTATGTGTTATAAAGTCAGAATTGCGAGATGTAAACTCGCAATTGTGAGAAAAAAAGTCAGAATTGTTAGATAAAAAGTCGCAATTCTGTCTTTTTTTCTCGCAATTGCGACTTTATTTCTCATAATTGCGACTTTATATCTCGCAATTGCGACTTTATTTCTCACAATTCTGACTTTATATCTCGCAATTGTGAGATAAAAAGTCGCAATTATTATTATTATTATTTTTTTATTCAGTGGCGGAAACAAGCTTCCATAGGAAATAGTTCACCCAAAAGCGGAAGATCTGTCATCATTTATTCAACTTCTTGTTGTTCTAAACTAATGTAATTCATTTTCTTCTGTGGAAGAATTGTTGGAGAATTTCGAACCTGTTTTTTTTCCATACAATATAAGTAGACTGTGATCAGCAGCTTTCATGCAGGTATATTATACACATGAAATCCTAGTGTGTCCTTGTGTACTATAGTCTAATTATAAGAAAAACAGGCTTAAATTTTATTTGAATTTCATTCATATGAATCTGTCATTACAGTATTACATCAATATTTGACTGCAAGAAATTGTCATTTCTTTTGTGTTTGCTGCAGGTGGAGAAGACAAATGAAGCGTTATATAAGAAACAGAGTACAGCTGTTTTTAAATCTGCCACTGACAGACTTGTGGGTTCACTGTTCGCCAAAGTAAGACACACACAACACTCAATTTTAATCTTTAGACTGCCACTGGGAAGAAAAATCCCAAGTGAGATATCTTTAATATCTGAAGTGTTTTTCCTGGATAGCAATGACATGAAATGGAGAGAAGATTTTACAACTATTTTAATAGGACTTTCACGAAGTCTCATGCTTCTCAGATGTTTCTCCTAAGAATAAAACCCCAGTAATTTCACATGAATCTCCTCTAACATATCAGAAGAGATCTCATTAGCCGCTTTTCCACTGTCTGGCGAGCCAGGGCTAACAGTGTGCCGCGCAGGGACAATAGCCTCGGACCTCAAGCACCGAGTCCAAAATCAAGTTTCGTTTCCACTGTCGGGGCAGTAGCCCCGCAGCTCTACCCTAAAACACGCTCTTAACCCTCTGGGGTCCTTCGGCCCAAATGGACCCGAAGCATTTAAATACTTTTTTTTTAAATCATAGCTTTATCGGAATGGTCCGAAATTTGGTGACTTTGTTGGTACTTGGTATATGAACACCCAAAAAAATTGGGGGACAGGATTTGAATAGTCTAAGTGGTTGTAAAAAAAATAGTCACACTCAGGACCTTTGGGTCCAAATGGACCCGGTTAGGAAATGAATGGGAAATTGGCAAAAATGTGAAAATACAGAGTTTTTTTGTGCGTACAATCTACAAATCAGCCACGATCCAGAAAAAAAGCACACAACAGTGAAGGGGTGAATCTATAAAACATCAAGAGTGCAAAACAGACACATCCACACACACACACACACAAACACACTTTTATACACATACACACTAATAAATTCAGATTACACATGGGTTTTGAATTTTTAAAATGCTCAGTTTGTCCACCAGATGGCATCCATCTCATTTCAAAAATTGCTTTCATGAGGCCTAGGCTTGACTCTAAAATGAAATACAGCTTTAAAAAAAAAAAAAAAAAAAAAAAACATCTATTATATTCAATGGGGAAAAAATGGGTCATAATTATGGCATTAATATTAATTATAAATCATTTTTATTTTTGAAATTATCTCAAAACACCAAAAAAGAAAAGAAAAAATATTATAAAAAAACAAGTAAAAAAAAAAAATGATGATTTTTTTAAAAATAAATATTAATCCCACCCTTCCGGCCCATTTGGACCCGAAGGTCCTGAGTGTGACTCTGAAATGAAGGACCCCAGAGGGTTAACACGCCTCCATATAACGACATCACACAACCTCACCGTTTCACCAGCTGACTGAAAACTAGCTAGATCGCAAAATGAGCATGACAGAAACAAACGTTTGGTCTTTAATTAAAGACTTAAGATTCCAGCATCGATACTTGTCCAATGCTTTACAATAAAAAAATGTTACAGTGACAGTAATTTATTCATTTGTGTCAGGAGTGCACATCAATCATGCTGAATCAAACTGATATGTACCATTTCACATAAAAAGAGAACACATACCTATTCATCTGCACCTGCTTCCATTTATTTGCGATCACAGAAATGCACAAAACAACTCCATTAATGTTAAGTCCAAAGGCTTACACATTTAGAAAAATATTGATAAAATATCATACCCGATTGTACTCAGTATACTATACTGTTATCCTTTCAACCAGAGCAACAGAGGGAGCTCACAGACAGAAAAGATGAGATACGAGTTAACCAGAGTGCATGTTTTTAATGACACATTTGCGGATGCATTAGTCTGGTATCAACGAAGAGACAGATAAACATGAAACCAAATAAACACACGATTATAATCATTTATGTTTTGTCTTCGTTCTTCAAGCAGACTGTGGTATTTCCCATAAACACATGTGTATTTATTATCGCAATGGTGAGCATTTTAAAATGTCTTAAAGTCCCCCTGTAGTCAATAATTATATCACTTATAACTCATCTTTGATCGCCAAAATGACATATTTAAACGTTATTTCCTTCCTTGAAAAATGTCTTTATGCCTTTAAATAGCTTGTAAGTAGAATGTAACTCTACACCCTTGCCTCATTTAGTATACACGGTTTTATGAATATGCAAATGAGCCCCGCCTCCACTCACTCGCACCAGCTCAGAGATCCACTCGTTGACGATCACACGTTGACCTGATTGGTTACAAGGTAGTTTGTGACGTCAGAAACAACAGCGACTTCAAACCATGTGTTTGAGACTGTCTTTGGTTCACTGCAGTTTTAAGGAGAAAATCAGCAATGGTATCGACTTATGAATTTGCACATGGTTTGTTTTAAAGCATATTAAAAACACCACATAGACATATAAACAACATTAAAAGCTAGATTTTCACCACAGGGGGACTAAAAATGTTGAAGTCAGCTGGTAGCCTGATATAATAACATGGGAAATAAGCAGCGGTGTTGTAAACTCTAACTTTGTTCATGACCACCCCTCAAGCCCCAGTTGGCCCGTTTTAGACCAAGGTGTTCAGTGGGCCAAAAACCCCTGTCCATTGACCCCAGGGAAGCCCCGATGAGGATTGATAAAGCCTCGACTGGCCCCTGGCATGCACTAGCATGCTCGCTTTTGTCCCGACAGTGGAAACACGGCTACTGTCTCACACTGTGCTCAGATTTACAGAGATAATAAAATCTGCAATCAAAACTGAGAAATCTCAATAACATTTCTATGATCTAAGCTGCTCCACATTTTGTTTAGCTCTATACTCAGTTGCACTTTATTTCGACAGTCCACTTTAGCTAGTTATAGTTAGTTGACGTGTTGTTGCAAAGTTACTTATAGTAAGTAGAATATCTAAAGTGGACCATCGAAATACTATATGTCAACTATTGACTCATACGTCTGTTTTTAGGAGAAACATCTTGATATTTTAAAAGTAGGGTAGGCAATTTTTCTTATAAACTCTTTTTGTTAGACTGGTTGAAACTCTCTTCACTTCCTGAGAGCATTCAATAATAGAAGTGGTCTAAATATTTAAAAAAAATTTACGTTCATTATTATTGTGATGTTATGTGCTTTGAGACATGAGGTAATTTACCCCGATCTCTCGTGACGCTTTGCAGACTCTGCTGTGTGCGTTCATGTGTTTTGGAGACGCTCTGAAGGGAGGGTGGGATCCAGGGCCGTAGCTAGAGGATTCGGGGCCCCCTGAAAAAATATTAATGTGGGCCCCCACCACCCTCCATCAATATCATATACTGTACAATAGATGAACATGGAGGCCCACATAACAGAAGATGGTGATGTTGTTGTAAAACCTTTATTTTAAAAGTTAAATGTTTATATAAAAATTACAACTAATAAAAACTAACAAAAAAGCAAGAAATTGTTAAATAATAATAAAACCAATTTTTAAAAAGTAATATTTTTTTCCCCCAAAAAAAAAGACAGGAATTTAGACCACGTAATCATTCGGTCGATTGCGGCGCGCACCGATAATAAAAAATGACTGTACACGGCAGACTGTAGACGGAAGTTTTCTAATTCCCAGCGAAATAACAATATATAACCGGTCTTTAAGAACGTCTTGATCGACTGGGATACAACCACTCTCCTTGCCTCCCTCTCCGTCTTTTCCTGGCATTTCTGGTTCCCTGATTTATGTTTTCTTCAGTCTTCTTCATATTTTTCAGTCAGTCAGTCTCCTGCTCTTCCACCAAGTTCATCGTTAACTTCAGGCTGCCGCCTCAACTCTGATTGGTTCTGTTCACGAGCTGGGGCGGGACTTACAATTTTATTGGGTCCATCTGATGTTTGTCACTGACTCTGACTGAATAATTAATAAATACTTTAGGTCGGACTAAACCATTTTTATGGAGGTAAGAGAAGCAGATATTTGGAAAAATATTTACCCAAATTGCACGTTTTTGTGGTTTTCATTTAAATCTCAGGCATACAACTAATATAAATATTAGAATTATTCATACTACAGGGGCCTAAATAGTATAACTGCTGGATTTTGTGGGGCCCCCTGGGCAGCGGGGGCCCCTATAATTGTCACCACCTTTCACCCCACTAGCGACGGCCCTGGTGGGATCTCATGCTTTCAAAACTAGCTTGCTATTGCTAGCCTCTCTCAAATTGCCTACACTACGTTTAAATGAAACTTGCTTTGAGCTGTGAAAGAGCAAAGTCTGAGCAAAGTCTCAGGGTGTTTTCAGCTCCATGATGTGTAATGACAGGGATTGATGTGTCAGCTTATTATTCAGAGTCAAACAGCCTGTTCTGGAAGTTTAGATTTTTGTGTGTGTGTACTTGTATAAGCTTGAATTCAATGGGAAAGCCCTGATATTTGTTTCGCTCCATGGAGAGTTTAGATTAAATCCTGTCCATATCTAAAATCAGTAATTATACTTCGCAAGATATGAGACCGCAAAAGTGTCCGTATGTTTAGACTGTGTATCATAGAGACTGTTTGAGTCAGACGCTCTGATGCAGATGCTGCAAATATATTATAATGAGCTCAGCACCTCGCCTCGCGTCTGCTCCGCTCCTTCATTAGACACATGTCTGCTCACAAAACACACAGCCGTCTGGAGGAGTCTCACCAAATCACGTTTCAACCCCAAATTTGGGGTTGAAACATTTTGGGCCCTATCATACACCCGGCGCAATGCAGCGCCAAGCGCAACGCAAGTGTGTTTTGCTAGTTTCAGCCTGACGCAGTTATCATTTTCACGTCTGCGTCAAATGCATTTGCGCCCATTTGTCCACCCATGGGCTGCTTGTCTGAAAACGAGGTGTGTTCAGGCGCATTGTTGCCGCATTGCTATTTTGAGGCAACTGAAACAGATTGCGCCATTGACCAACTGAAACCTGGTCTGAAGTCAATGCGGCAATATTTATTTTGTCATTTAAAGAGCGCGTCAGTAATATGAGCCTATAGGCGTGTCACAACGCGCGTACACTCTGCTTATTACACACACAGGGACGCGCAGCAGCACAAACAAACCAAATATTAACAATAAAAGGATTACAATGTAAAAGATTCATATTGTGTTCATTAAGATATGGAGGAATCCGGCTTGTCCCGTAGATGGTCTGCTTTAACCTCGCGCACGAGCAGATCCGTTTGCGCTCTGGAGAAACGTTCAGTCTTTCCGTTTGCAAATTCCGTCATGTAAATAGCGAATCCGCCATGGCGCGAGCGCAACTGGCTTTTGAATGGGAGACGAGACTCTGGTTGGTTTATTTCCCGATACGCCAAAAACACACCCATTACTCATTAAGAGAATAGAGACAACCCTTTTAGACCATGCGCCGGGTGCGCCGACCATTTGTCCTGTCGTTAAACTAGCAAAAGTGGATCCGGACTAAGTGCACTTGTGCCCTGCGCTTTAGACCACACGCTTAGATCGTTAAAATAGGGCCCTTGATGTCACGTGACGAAAATGAAGCTTAATTTTAGCACCATTATGATGTTTTGCATTAAGGCATTCTTTTCATGACATTTTCACAAAATTACCATCATGCATCTGTTTTATTTTTTTATTTAACTGTTGTTTTGTTTTATTTATAACAATTTGTTTTATAATAGTTGAAGGAATGAGCTAAATGAAACTGAAAAGATTTGCAACAGGGTAATGGACTTTGTTTTTTCACTGTATTGAATTCAAATGTAGAATGTAAATAATGTATCTTTTTTTCTGCATGACAGTCCTAGTGAAAAATAAATTTGAAATACATTTATTTTATGCTAAGTACACTACAAATACATTTACATATTTATGTACTTAATATAAATACCCTGCAATTGTACTTTTGGTATACTAAATTGAAATACTTAAACTCATTTTGTACTTAATGTACTTTAGTTATCCAAAAAATAGTGCTGAATTCGATTGTGCTAAAATGGAACTATTGCAAGTATACTTTAGATACACTTTACATATCTTGCATTTAAAGACTGATATTATCTGATTATACTATCCTTACGCATAGTGATATTAATATTAAGAAATGTGCATTATGCAATAAAGTACTCCAAATAAAGTTTAATTATAATATTTATATCAGTAAGTCTCAATCGATATGTCAGTAAATATGTTACAGGATTTGCTGTATACTTAGTATGAAATAAATGTAGTTTAAATACATTTTGGGATAGGTTTTTTTCACTAGAGATGAATGGAAATTTGGAATTTTGTGTTTAATTGTCATGACAATAATGTCACAATACAAAAGATCTACAAAAATAGTCTTGTTCCTGACAGGTTTGGTGAGATTTATCATCTAGATGTTTCTCACTCTTTCTCTCTCTCTGCATCTGTCCAGCTTACAGATGTGCAATTATACATATAGCTGGTTAGTATTACAATATGCAAGTGTTACATATACAATATGTCTAAATAACTAGAATGATTCAATAAAGCTTAATTTCTATGTACAGCATCTGTAGCATGTTAGTGGTTAACACAACTAAAATGATTTTGACTTATAATTCATTTTGTAAAAACCCACAGTAATACTTTGCAATAATGCTCCTACAGCTCGCACACACATATACGACCCCCTGGCTCATTTGTACCTGCTGTAAATCCATTGTGCAGATGATGTTTATGATGCTGTGGTTAGATATTAGATTGCTCTTGGCAGGATACTCCTCCGCCAGGCTCATATAACGTGAGCGAATCTTTCGAGAAGACACACGGTCTCCATCACTACAGCAAGCCACGGAGTGAGAAAGCACGCAAGCGACAGAGCTGTTTCCTGTCCGCCGCCCCCAGAGACCCTGCCTTCCTACAATACGACCCTGAAATACCAGGTGACTTATGCTTACTTGATCTCTATGAACGGCATTTGAGGACTGCTGTCGATTATCTGTCCATTACTCCTTCAGTTTGTACAAATAAACAAGACACTTTATATTGGAAGTCTATGTGGCTAAACATTCAAGAGTAGGAAGCGACATTAGTAATTAGGAAGTCTCTTAATTATTAATGAATATGAAGTATTACATTTATAAACTCTGTAGATCTAGTTCTTTCATTTTCCGTTTTAATGAGCTTTATTGGCATAACAAAACTGTACATTTGGAAATGTACAAAACGTTTGCACATTTTCATTGTACACAATTATAATAAAGTGACAACAATAAAATTAAATATCAGTAATGCATAGTATTAATTACTATATATACACTGAACAAAATTATAAATGCTAGACTTTTATTTTTCATGAGCTGAACTCAAAGATCTCAGACTTTTTCTATGTACACAAAAGGCCTATTTCTCTCAAATATTGTACACAAATCTGTCTAAATCTGTGTTAGTGAGCACTTCTCCTTTGCCGAGATAATCCATCCACCTCACAGGTGTGGCATATCAAGATGCTGATTAGACAGCATGATTATTGCACAGGTGTGCCTTAGGCTGGCCACAATAAAAGGCCACTATACAATACGACCCTGAAATACCAGGTGACTTATGCTTACTTGATCTCTATGAACGGCATTTGAGGCCATATATATATGTCTAACCAGCATCTATACTATCAGTAACGCAAAACAAAAAATATACAAATTATGTCAAAAGTGTAACGTATTCTGATGTGAAATTTATATTTTTAGAGGCACGTTGTAACATTTATTTTGATTTTTTTAGAATTTTTTTTAAAAGCAGAAATGCAGAGCTTGTATTTTGTTGTTGCATTATAACTTAACATTTCTTTAAAAGTAGTTTAAAGCATCCTTAATTTGTGAGTGTAGGCCTAGGAACTTGCTTTATCAACATAACGGTGGAATTTGCTCCATGTAAACAGTGTTTTTAGGGAGTTATGTTCAAGTATTCCAGCTAAACTACTTGTTATTTGTGGTTTTGTAGGTCCTGCTCATTATAGTCCAGATGTTAAGTCTAACCCTCAACTTGCGCTGATGGTCTCAAAAGAAGATCGCTTTAAAAGCCCTAAAGACATGACACCTGGACCCACAGCATATGAGGTATGTACCTCATATATTTATTAAAAGTGTCTATATGCATGTATATGTGTGTTTATATATATATATATATATATACACACAGTATATACCCTGAATATATTTATAACACAGCACAAATATCTAACCAGCCAATCACATGGCAGCAACTCCGACATGGTCAAGATGATCTTCTTGAGTTCAAATTGAGCATCAGAATAGGGAATAAAGGTGATTTAAGTGACTTTGAACGTGTCATGATTGTTGGTGCCAGAAGGGCTGGTCTGAGTGTTTCAGAAACTGCTGATCTACTGGGATTTTCACACACAACCATCTCTAGGGTTAAGAGAGAATGGTCAGAAAAAGATAAATATCCAGTGAGCGCCAGTTCTGTGGTGAAAATGTCTTGTTGATGTCAGAGGTCAGAGAACGACCAGACCAGTTCAGCTGATAGAAAGACAACAGTAACTGAAATAAACACTCAATACAACCGAGGTTCAGAAGAGTCAGTAAACTCAAACGACTCCACAGTCTCCAGATCTCAGTCTAATAGAGCAGCTTTGGGATGTGGAGAAATGGGAGATTCAACATCATGGATGTTCAGATCCGACAAATCTGCAGTAACTGTGTGATTCGATCATGAGAATATGGACCAAAATCTCTGAGGAATGTTTCCAGCACCTTGATGAATCTGAGCCTTAAAGAATATAATACTGTGTATATATACTGTATATTATAGTATTTAGTTTTTAAATAAATAACACTAGTACACCAATTCACTATTGTGTGTGTGTGTGTGTTGTAGTTGAGTCCAGTCATCATGGACACCGTTCTGAAAGGCACCTTCAATGTGACGCTCCATGATCCTTTGGTGTCCAGCACGAGATCTTTATCTTCACGCAAGTCTTTGAGAAAACCCCCTGCCCACCGCAGTGCCTAACTCAGGTCAAAGGTCAGTGACCCCTCACACTATATTTGACACGTATTATGGAGGTTTAGTTTCAGTAATAAAGACTTTCTTGAGGTTTTCAGAGGTCTACTCTACTCGGTAAAGAGAAAAGACGACTCTCTCCTGTCCGTCTTATTAAAACGAACCGCTCTGTTACACACACACACACACACACACACACACAGATACGCCATAGGAGCAGCATGAGCTCTGATATTATATTCCCTCTGAATGGCTGATTGATCTCTTAAAACCAAAGATGCTCAAATAAAACATTCAGTGTATTTTCTGATTTACACACTAATTAGATGATTCCTTCATTAATGGCATGTGAGTCTGCTCACTGCATGGCGGATAACAGGAGATCTGGCTTTAATTTAGTATGCTTTGTTGGTTTGACACATTTGCATTTCTACATAAATTTTACTTTTTTGTAATGCAAAAGCATTAGCTCACCTGAAAATTTCAATTCACCTGAATTGAATGAATGTTGATCACAGACTTTGACTTTAAGAAAGTCTAGCAATTACATAAATTACGTATTACTTAATTTATGCATAGATATATAAAAGAGATCTCATTTGTGTTTTTGTCTTTTCTGTGCCTTTGGTGTGTACACTAAAACAAATATTTTTCGAATTTGTACATAAAACAAAGATTATTGGAGTGTGTTTTACAAGAACATACTATTTCAGTCTTTCTAAATGTCACATTTAATTTAATGAGTTACTTGCCGTTTCTTTGCAATTACTTTATTAATAATTTCTGAGTGAAAATTGTTTCAAATTAAGTCCTACATAATGAAGTTATTACATTTTACCACAAAATAAAATAATATAATGAACACAAAAATAACAGATTACAGTGGACTATTTAAGATTTGAACAAAAATGAAAGTAACATTTGCAATTTAGAAGTCTCTTAATTAGAACAATTTAATTGAAGACTATTATATAAATAATCTTTCTAAATCTATAGTCTGTTTTTAATATGCTTTTTTGCAATAGCAAAACTGTACAATTGGCAAATTGTTTATACAATCTCAGTGTTGCGGCACAGTAAAATAAATTAAAAGTACAAGGTAATATTAAATGCAATTTTAATATTTTTTCTTCTCTATCATGTCTTACGGTTTCCTTCTGTATTGTAATTTGTTTTTCAGGTCACACACTTTCAAAAAGACCTCGGCTAAGCCTCTCCTATTAAACACATGCTTCCCAGGAGTTCCTGACACACACACACACACACACACACCTCTTTATGGGTGATATATTTCCCTCATTGCTCACAGAGAATAAATCAGGATTCTTTAATGGGTTTGATGTTTCAGGGTTTTTGTGCATCATAAATTCTCAGCCCTGCCCACAATAACACAACGCTAATGTAGAGAGATTTGTAGAGAGATGGTACACACACACACACACAACATCTTGATATCGTTATACACACCCTTTTAATCTAATTAAGCATTTACACACTCTCATTATTCAGCAGAGAGAGGGAGGTCGAGCGAGGAAGGGCGAGAGACGTCGAAGAGGAGAGCGAACGGAAGAAAGAGAGGTTTTAGCTCTTTATTGAACTGACTTGTTTTACATTTGCAAGCTAATTGAATCAGATAAATCACTGTGGCAGCTCTCTCGCCACGCGCGTGTGTTTGTCTCGTGGAGTTTACGGATGTTAGTCCGTTTTAAAGTCAATGTGAAATCAAAATTTAACCCATGATTTACTTTCTATAATGCACATTCCTGGTCTTACGATTCATCTGTGCACGTTACTCCAGAGAACAAAAGGCTGTTTATATTTTTATGTAATCGTCAAAATTTTTCTAGGTTAACATCACCTAGACTGTGGATAGTGTTAACCAGCGGTTGGGTTCCGGAAGTAAAAATCCCAATCATTTTCTCCATAGGGGAATTGATTTTAATTAAAACTTATAATCCTTTAAAGACATACTGACTGTGAGCTACGAGGTCATTCATTGATGGTATATGCTTTAGTTGAAGCCATCCATTAGCATTTTTAAATAATTGTTTAACTGGTGAAAAACTACATTACCCATGATGATTCTGCGAAGAAATCTCCACCAATTAAAGAATTGATTTGGTAAATTGCACCAGTAGAACTTTTTAGCTCCGGCCGCTCTGATGAAGGAGCTACGCTTATTCGTATTTTATGCATATATTGAATATTGATATGCATGTTTGTGTATAATCAACGTCCTTAACCCTCTGGTGCTCTACGCGTGGCAGTCAAAAATGACAGAATCTTTTTTTTTATTTCAATGAAATTAATATTTTTTATTTTTAGGGGATTTTATGGTACTAAATTATATTTATGCAGTAGTTATAATCCATTTACCGGTATTCACATTTTGAGCATATAACTTCATAAATCTTGAATGCTTTGGAGCACAGATGTAAGTTTGGACTTTTTTTAAACACGATACTTGGCAAATTATTGCTGAAGTGAAAAAAGTTTTAAAAGTAATAAAAAAAAGAAGAAAAAAACTCTTTTACATTTATTGTCATGAAAAAAATTACAAAAATACTATTTAATATACTAATATATATTTTCCAAAACATTTTTATTCTAAAAATTGAGCTTTCAGAAAGATTGTGTTTGGGCGCAGTACCAAAAGTTTCCACTAGATGAAATTCGTTTCCCATTCTTGCACCTTTCTTCGTCTGATTTTCAAATATTTTTTGCTTCAAATCAAAATCTGTAATGTTGTGGTTCCCCTCATACCTGGTTGGATTGGTTCATGGCTTATAACTCTTTAACAAAGACTTTTTTTAAAAACTTATGGGAAAAATGAATTGAAAAAAAAATACTTTCAGGACCAACGCCACAGAAAAGAAAAGTGGGCGGGCACAGTTGCACTGTATAGCTAAATAGCTATTTAGCCATTATTTTTTAGTGTTGTTGTAGGCGATGCAGCCCTTTGCTTATTAACAACACAGTCATTTTAATGCAGTTTGACAGTAATCTAATAATAACATATAATTAAGATAGATCTGCCACAATTAACTGCAACCTCACATTCTGATATGAACAAACCCACCTTAACCATGGCTGCATCCGAAATCACATTCTCTATTGAGTAGGTACTTATTTTGAGTAATTCACGACTGCTAAAAAAGGATGTTTTATATAGTATGAATGTAATCTGGACATACTACATTCACCATGTTGTCATTATCATGTGACCTACAGCGTCCGTTACGCCCCTTCACTGCCATTCACAAATCCTCTCCCGTGGCCTCATGGGATAGTAAAGTGTCCATCTTATACACACTTCAGAATCTCGCTGGAAGTAGTAGGTCATCGCCTCTTTTATGAGTACTGTGAACTCTGACATACTACTTTTGTCACATACTGTTTTTCACCTAGTAGGAAAGTATGCGATTTCGGATGCAGCCTATATGTTTTACAATAACCCCTAACCATGGCAAACTAAAAATAGTAAGTCTGGTTTAATGTGCGAAAGGACTTTCACTGCAGTGGACTCAATTCCAGCTCTCTGAAAGCATATGTTAATGATTATGAGTGGGAGAATATGTGATAGTTTGTTCTCGGTGGACTTATAGAAAACTGCTTTGAAGACTTTTGAAGGTAAACACCATATTGTGAGATGTGTTAATTGGGGAGTTAATTGTCGTTAAGATGTCTTAATTAGTCATTAAGCCAAGCTGTTCCTCCTGCTGAGGTCTGGTTGGCCTCGTGCCCACGACTCTCCCACAACTTCTGCTTCTCCATTACAGTCTTAATGTTGAAGAACTTCTGTCTCTCTCAAACACACCCTGAGGAACATTTGACGGCTCAGATGTTGTTCTTTTAGCATTTAGCATTACACACATTTCATTTAATTGCTGTGAAGTGATCCCGCTTTATAGTAAATATTTCAAAATGTTTAAGGTAACCGACGACACTGCTGAAAAGATGAGATGCAGCGACGACTTTTTAATGTTTTTTTAAAAGAAGTTTCTTATGCTCACCAAAGCTGCACTTATTTGATCAAAAATACAGTAAAAACAGGAGTACTGTGAAATATTATTACAATTTAAAATAAATGTTTTCTATCTGAATATATTGTAAAATGTAATTTATTCCTGTGATCAAAGCTGAATTTTCAGCATCATTACTCCAGTCTTCAGTGTCACATGATCCTTCAGAAATCACTTTAATATGCTGATCAATTATTATTGGTGCTCATTCTGCTCAATTATTAATAATGGTTTATGTATAAGTATGTATATAAATACAAGTGTGTATATATATATGGAACAGACATCTTTTGTAACATTATAAATGTCTTTACTGTCACTTTTGATCAATTTAATGCATCCTTGCTTAATAAAAGTATTAATTTTAAATTATTACATTTAAATTTAAAAGTAAAAAAAAAAAAAAAAATCTTACATTCGCCAAACTTTTGAGTGGTAGTGTATCATGGTTTCTGCTAAAATAATAAGCAAAAACTGTTTTCGACATTAATAATAATAAATCTTGAGCATCAAATCATCATATTAGAATGATTTCTGAAGGATCATGTGACACTGAAGACTGGAGTAATGATGCTGAAAATTCAGCTTTGATCACAGGACTAAATTACAGTTTTAAATATATTCTCATGGAAAACAGTTATTTTATATTCTAATAATATTTAATAATATTTCACAATATTACTGTTTGTATTTTGATCAAATAAACGCAGCCTCAAGAGCATTAAAGACTTCTTTAAAAAAAAAAACACACTGACCCCAAACCTTTAAATAGAAGTCTAGATCTATCAAATGAATGTGAATAGCAGCTCAGATCATTCTGAGTTCGTATCTCACAATTCACAGTCTTAATTTATTCTGTGGTGGAAACAAGCTTCCATACAAATCACTAACTCTGTAAGAAATATTACTAGCAAACAGCATAAATCCACACTCTGTGAACAGAAGAGAAGGGAGGGCCGGGGGTGTTTAAGGGGACGGGGCTTGTGTTATCAGTCCCTCACACTCCCTCCTACTCCAGCAGGGGGTATAATGATCCTCATGCACGTATAATCACGAGACTCCAGCAAGCATGCTTAAATACACCCTCTGCTATCATCACAGAGAGCAGGTAGAAGACCTGTAGGGTCAGCGGTCCTGTGATTACACTTTTATCTGCGCGCTCATCGTTTCTGGGAGAGAACGGCCCCAATCTCAAGCTTAATTGAGTTGAATGTTGTTATCGGAGTCGGGCTGTAGCATTGCTCTCTCTTTCTCTCTGTCTGTGTCTCAGAGGGAGGTGTGTTTTTTTCCTCTCTCTCTCTCTTTCTCCAGGCAGGAGGCTGCTTTATATGGAAATAGGCTGCAGAACGAGAGCTCACACGGAGAAGAAAGCTTAAAGTACTCCGAATGTCACACTCATGCTCTTTTTGCAAATTTTTTCCCTATGCTTTCTCGTCTTGCAGTTTCTAAATAATGCGCTTAATGTTTGCGTCTTTGAATGAAAGAACAAAAAACATGCAATAAGACATTGGCTGTGTGTGTGGAAGGGAACGCTAGCATACTACGTACTGCCTACTGTGTTGAGAAACTGCAATGAGAAACAGTATGCGACGGGAAAACAGCATTGCATGTTTATTTGGAATTTATTTAGGCTATTTTGCACGCTTAAACTTTGTGTAAAAATAAAGTGCTGCATTTTTATGGGACAACCTGGGATCACCCTGGTTCCCTTGACAAAAAGCCAGTCTGCTTGTTAAATCGTGACGTAATGAATGCTTTTCACTCGACTCATTTCACTTGAGAACAGCCGTTTATGAGCACGATTTATTCATATTACACGTTTAAGCTAAGCTCACAGTGTACGCTACTGTCTCTGTGCTCATGGTCACCGTCATTTTGCCAAGTAAGACATGTTCCTGAGTCAACATATTTTGTTGATCCTGGAACAACATTCCTGTCTGAAAATGTAGTCTTATTAACCCTACCCATAAATTATCTTGAGGAAAATAGGTGAATAACACTGATGTAGAAGCACCTAACCCTGGTTGTAAGAATGGATAAGTGTCTGACTCCATTAAAAACACCCCAAAAAATTTGTTTTACATGCGCAAATAGCATAAACAACAGAACACGAGAATTCATACATCACTCACCTGTAAAAAAACAAAACAAAAAAAAGAACAGAATAAAAGTATATAGGCCTATACACTCACCTAAAGGATTATTAGGAACACCACACTAATACTGTGTTTGACCCCCTTTCCCCTTCAGAACTGCCTTAATTCTACGTGGTATTGATTCAACAAGGTGCTGAAAGCATTCTTTAGAAATGTT